TTCCTATTTATTCTCCTGGTGTCTGTCATCCTGTGCTGATCCGTCATTTCTCATTGTGTGTGTTTCGTGTCTGCATGTGTGCGGCTTTAGACCTGCCTGTCTGTTTTTCCCCCTCGGGGTGGTTTGAGTTAGTTTGTTTAATTTTTTTATTATTAAAATAAACAACCATTTCTCCTGCACTTGAGTCCTCGCTTCATCTCCCCGCACGCACCGTGACACATACCACAGCAACATTTTTTATACATTTAAAAAATGTTTTTAATATTTGTATTTTTGTTTTTATGTTTGAGCTTATTTACCTCTATTATCATAAAAGTCTGAGTAATTATTGTTCTTGAACAGTAAACTTTGAAGTGTCAGCTTTGTGAACATATGTTGATTATGTATCTAGTCAGAAAGACTCGTGGGCAGCAACCTTTTTATTTTGGGTATGTCATTTGTGTCTCAATGCCGAAAATGGGGGGTGATAGAGAAGGGGTTAAATCAAATCAAATATACAATGAATGTAGGACACCATTTCTGTCCACCTGCATGTCTCAGATCTTCCTCTTGTATCCACATAACAAATGCGCTTTGCTCATGTGAAATACTCAATCTTAGTCATGACCAAGGCAGACCACATCATATTAAACACTTTGCCTGAATGCTAAATTAAGTATCTTCTCAGAGCTAATGGTTTAGTTATTTCCAGCCAATGGGCTGCTTGGCACTTACTAAATGGGTCACACCAGCAATGAAAAGTTCCAATCTGTCTTGTGGATCCATCAGAAAGGGACTTTAGCCATTACTGCAGTAATAGTTCTGAGCAGATGATTAGAAATGCACTCTGATGTGACACATTTAGACATTAACAAAGCCTTAGTAATCAGGGTTGAGGAGAGCTGCATTCTGACTCAATCTTAAAGCATTAATGCCTTCTTTTGCTGGTAAATTGAAACAAGTTCATGCCAAAAGCTGTTAATCTTACATTTGTTTGGTCAAGAAGAATGTGGGTTGGAAGGTAAGCACACTGAACTACACGCTACAAGCTACAAGCTTCAAAGCTTTGCTTTGAAATTAATGCAGCCTAAAAATCCTTTAACGGATTTGAATTTTAAAAATGTGATCGTGTATTATGTGAATGCCAGGTTAAAGAGATAGATCTTTAACCCTCTAAGCGCCAAAGTCGCAAAATTGTGACAAGACGTCATACTTAATAAAATAGACTGTAGTTCCTAATATGGTGTAATATAATATATATACATTTGTATTCCCTACCACTAGATGGCAGACATGTAGTACTTCGATTCTAGACCAAAATTACGTCACGTTCCTATTCAAAGTGTTCGAGCAAATTGCCGAGCAAGTGAGCTTTCGTGTCATTGATGCGGAAGCAGTTCAGTTCATAGCGTGCGAGTAAATTGTGAGATTTGTGAGAGAAAATCGCCAAATGATTCTGAATCTGAAGGGGAATATTTGCCTTTTGGAAATGACGATCGGTCGTCTAATAATCGCGCTTCTCCCAGTACATCTTTGCAGCGCAATGGTGCCGCCGTGCAAGCGAGAGTGTTCATGAAGCACAAACAAGTGATTATTTTCACCCTTTGCCCAAAGGGGATGGGGGTGGCAGGAGTGGACGTGGTCGTAGTGTCCATAGGAGAGCTGTAGCTAGAGGTAGAGGCAGCAGGGGTAGGAGAAATAGGGCTGGAAGTAGCACTAGCTCTTTGGATCCAGAGCGCTCTGGCTGGATCCAAAGAGCTAGTGCTACTTCCAGCCCTATTTTGCCCCAAAGAGGTGGGAGTGGCCGCGGTACACGGTGCAGTCAGTGTGGGGTAGGTCTGTGCGCTGTGCCATGCAATGAAAGGTACCATACTCTCAAGAAATATAAACTGTGTCACCAAGATACCTGATTGGGCAGATAGCTGGTCAACTGATAAAAAAATAGGCACATGCATTTTACTATGGCACAGTAATATAGGAATAATTTACTACTTTCTCCTGTTTTACTGTTGATTTCCTCTTTTCCTGATCATTTGGAATGAGCATTTTGGACCAGCTGGAGTTTGTTTATTAAGCACACAGAGCAACCGTCCAATAAAGCATTACAATAATCTAACCTCGAGGTCATGAAAGCATGAGTTAATGTTTCTGCATTTGACATTGAGAGCATTGGTCGTAATTTAGATATATTTTTAAGATGGAAAAATGCGGTTTTACAAATGCTAGAAACATGCTTTTCAAAGGAAAGATTGCTATCAAATAGCACACTTAGGTTCCTAACTGATGACGAGGAATTAACAGAGCAGCCATCGAGTCTTAGACAGAGTTTTAAGTTATTACATTTGGAGGTTTTTGGTCCAATAATTAAAACCTGTTTTTTTTCTTCTTCAGAATTTAGTATTAGGAAATGACTAGTCATACAGTTTTTTATATCAACTATGCATTCCGTTAGGTTTGCGAATTTGTATGTTTCATTGGGCCACGAAGAAATATAGAGCCGAGTATCATCAGCATAACAGTGAAAGCTAACACCATGTTTCTTGATGATATCTCCCAAGGGTAACATGTAAAGTGTGAAAAGCAACAGTCCTAGTACTGAGCCTTGTGGTACTCCATACAGTACTTGTGATCAATATGATATCTCGAATTGATGACGATCAGATAAGTAAGATTTGATCCATGACAATGCAATTCCACTAATGCCAACATAATTTTGTAGAAATCCTCACAGATACCATTTCTCTCTAAGAAAGAACAAACTGGAGTGCGCAAACACAATGTTGCGCTTCTTCTCGCGAGAATGACGTTGATCACTAATTTCCGGCACACACCACACCTATCAAGGAAGGGTACTGTAGCCGGACCAGGGTTTACCATCCCGAATCGTACTGTATTGTACTGTACCGAACCGTACCGCTCAGTGGAAATGACCTATAATATTCCCGTAACACATCCATTAAAACCTCTCCTCGATGCATCTCTCGACTCTTTCCTCCAAGCAGTTCCTCTTTGAGGGAGTTCTCTGGGTTTAGGCTATATTCCGAGTGCCTCCCCTCAGACAGCATGCCAGATATGCTTAATATTCTCTCAGTCTGATTATATGTAAGTGTAAACTTGTGAATGTGTGGTTTTGTGTTTACAGTGTGGATCATGGAGGAGAGAGCAGGATGAGAGCAGGACTACAAAAGTGTAGGTCTACAAACACACACACACTTCTTGAGTAATCTATATTTATCATGTTTTAGTTTCCTCAGTAAATTACATATTTAAAAAAAGTTTATTTTTTCTGACAGCTGGACTGTTAATTATTAATTGATTAATTATATTTTATTTCTTATAGTTAATAGTTATGTTTATATTTCTTGTGTAAATACTTTTATCTTTTGCGGTTTTAATGTGATATATGAATACAAAGCTTAACCAAAATATTAATCAGTCGAAACATTACTGATATTATTTTGCACTAGTGTCGTCACGATACCAAAATTTCAGTTCAGTCAGGACCACTCTGGCAGTAAAAAACATAATTTATTGATTATACACAACATTTGGTTTGGTGGTATGGTTTCGTGTGTGGGGTTCAGCAAAACAATATATATAAATATTAGCTGCCTGTAATAACCCCCCGGAACCATCAGCATAACATCAAGATAATGATAGTGGGATTGCTTGGGAAACTTGTCTTGGTGGCAGGGAGGGTTGGATGCGAGCTTGACTAAGCTGGAGGTGAGTGATAGTGCCACATATATATGCACGTACCTGAGATAGGAGAATCGCTGGGATTGGAGGGATCTGAACAACTGATAGTAAGCTGTTGCGGAACTCTGCCTACATGGCCTGCCTGAACTAACGCTTGCGCTAGATTAGTCGGTACCATTACCAGTAAAAACTCCTGTTACAATCATAAAATCTGTCTCTACTGCAAAATCAATCTCTTATTCACAGCATCTTTACACTTTGTTGCTTATAGAGAAAAAATAGTGAAGAACACTGAATAGTGAGGACATTTGTGAATAGTGAGGAGATTCTGGACTTTGCAAATATAGTCAAAGCTGTAAACACACACAGACATCTTCACTGTTGTGTTGTTCTTGATGTTTCTCTCTTCTTGTGTTCAGATGCCTGTGATCTCACACTGGATCCAAACACAGCAAACACTCGACTCATTCTGTCTGATGAGAACAGGAAGATCACAAGTGTGGAAGATCTTCAGCCGTATCCTGATCATCCAGAGAGATTTGAATATGCTCCTCAGGTTCTGTGTGTTGAGAGTCTGACTGGACGCTGTTACTGGGAGACTGAATGGAGTGGGAGGTTTGCTATTATATCAGTGTCATATAAAGGAATCAGCAGGAAAGGAGGATGGAGTGACTGTTGGTTTGGATTCAGTGACAAATCCTGGAGTCTGTTCTGCTCTAATAATAGATTCACTGTCTGGCACAATAATAAATACACTTATATACCCACCGTCCGTTCATCCTCTAATAGAGTAGGAGTGTATCTGGACCTGTCGGCCGGCACTCTTTCCTTCTACAGTGTCTCTGACACACACACACTCACACACATACACACATTTAACACCACATTCACTGAACCCCTCTGTGCTGGATTTAGACTGTATCAGATGAACTCCTCAGTGTCTCTGTGTGATATTAAAGAGCCTCCTGTGAGAATCATCAGTGATCCACACGCCGCCGGGTGAGTGAAATATACTGTATACTGTATTAGTGACAGATTTTTCCAGACTGTGACTAATAGTTCAGGGCTCTGTTCTTCATACATCACTGAATATGTCCCAGTTAATGTGATACCAGATCCTCTAATCTTGACAATTCCTCTGGCAAATGTAGTTTTTTTAAGTGCACAGATTTGATTAGTGTATTTGTTTGGAGTTGCTGTTTTTATTGAAAAAGTCACATGTATCAATACTAGAAAGCAGGGGTGCATTTCACATACAGCAATATAACTCGCTGATTAACTACCATAGTATGAAGAATCACTGGAGTAACTAACCAACTAGTCATGACTGTTTCCCAAAACCACAGTGCCATGATCTAAGCTCTGTCATTTGATCCACTGGTTCAATATGTAGGACAGTCGTTAATGATGTCATGTGCAGGTGATGGAGTAATAGCTTCTGCTAATTAATCAGTTCGAGATCTCAGAGATGCTGCTGTAACGAACACTGAACCTGATGATGACTTCACTGTTTTTGTTCCCTGTCGTTTTGCTTTATTTGACATTTGATTCCTCACGATTTCCTCTTTCGTGATACCCTGGGGTTCCCTTACACATTTATGCACAAGAGCACTCTTCAAACACAGCACTGGACACACTAAAATATATAGATCAAACTGTATATATATTTAATTAGAATGAAAGGGACAGAGTGTACTGCATGTTAGTTTGCTTATTGTACTCAAGAGCATGAGCTGTTTAACATGTCATTAACAAAACAGAATGGGACACCATACTTGGAATTTGTGCTGTGCATTTAACCCATCCAAGTGCGCACACACACACACACACACACACACATACAGTGAACACACACCCGGAGCAGTGGGCAGCAGAGTATGTGAGCGGAGTGGAGCTGCAACAATTTCCCCTGTGTGCTCCAAGCATTCAACAATCACTCCACTCCATCTCCACTCCGGGTTCAGCATTTCCCGCTCCCCGCTCCACTTGCCACTCCTCTGAGCAGAAACGCCATTCTGCCTTCGCTCCATGACGAAATTTGCGGCTAAAATATTTCAGTATGTTTTGAAATGTCACAAACGTCTGTTCAGAAATTATTACAGTAAATGAAAAATAAATGCACTATACTAGAAGAATAGTTTTAACATGGTTTACTGGAACACTACAATTAGCCCACGTCTATATTAAATGACTTTAACTCGCTTGTCTGTGCAGCTGTAACTTTTCTATTTTTAAGCTGATAAATCGCAGGACAGCGCTGACAATAATTTTCGGCACTCCTGAATGTTTCTATGTGTAGTGCCCCTTACTGTCACGGTGCGTGCGGGGAGATGAAGCGAGGACTCAATTGCAATTGCAGGAGAAATGGTTATTTTAATAATAAAAATGAAACAAAAACAAACTCAAACCACCCTGAGGGGGAAAAACAGACAGGTAGGTCTAAAGCTGCACCACATGCAGACACAAAACACACACAATGAGAAATGACAGATCAGCACAGGATGACAGAATAACAAGGTAACAAGATGGGAGGGGCCAGACAATAGACAGGAGAGAGCACATGGCAACAGACAAACACAACACAAGCCATGTGCTCCCAGAACACAGTCATCTGGTGGCCCTCCTGGGCACACCGGCTGAAGACTGTGACACTTACCCTTTCCACTAATGGGCGGAGCACCCAGTTTCTAATGATGTGTCTCCCGACGTAACTAACCTACTTCCCATTTCCCACTGATCACTGTACTTAAATTAAATGTTAAGTGGTGGTCTTTCTGAACAATTGGTAATGTAAATCACTAAGGGCAAGTTCTTAACAATTCACACATAATTTATTTAAAAAAAATGAAATCAAAGAAAGAAAATAATATAAATCTAGAGTAAATGGATTAAATTAAATACAACGTGTGTTGGTTGTTTTCTTTCACATTAAAAACGTTTAAAATGATTTAGAAATTGAAATAAAATGAATTTAAAACAGTTAAAAATAGAAAATTATTATACATAAAATACAGTGCAATCAGTTCGGACGTAGCACAGTGCTCATTCAATAAATGCACAGCTAAACAGATGAGTTTTGAGTCTGCATTTAAATGTGGCTAATGTTTTAGCACATCTGATCTCTTCTGGAAGCTGATTCCAACTGTGGGCGGCATAATAACTAAAAGCGGACTCCCCTTGTTTTGGTACTCAACTAATAGCTAATACTTAACTTGTATCACTAAGAAACAGTAATTCACTTCCCTTGTGAAATATGACACTAAAACAGCAGTCAGAATGCAAATACTCAATATAAATAAAATGAAACAAGCTAAATAGCAACGGTGTAATGTGGGCCCACACACACACTCTCAGTTTCAATAATTCCTATACGTTGAAGGCCTGCATCGTCACTTGAGAACGGTGTGGGCGTTAAACCCAACAAATGGCCTCTTCACTCCGAAGAGCTAAATAAACAAACGAGTGCCTGTGTCCGCTTGTGTCAACACACGTGCTGTCCACCGAACTTGTTAGAAACTCCGTATTCGTCTGATGTTTCACCCGCGGTCCGCTGGATGACGAGAAATCCCGCAGTGCCAGAGGAATTCTAAACCGCGTGGGGATTTAGAATGCTATCTGGTTCCTCCATCCTGTATACTTATTCCTCTAAAATGATTAAGAAACTCTGGTCCATCATCACATCAAAGGGAAATTACAGCACGAGCAGCAGCTGTAACAAATGTAAATCTGTTTAAACTCTTAGTCAGAGTAAACAAATTACACAAATGAAAGAAAGGTTCTTTATCACTTCCTACTTTCATTAAATATAAGATCTAGCAACTTAGTTAGCGGTTATTTTCGTATTCCTTTCCGAAACAAAAGAGAGAAAAAAACTGCGACATCACTTTCAATCTGCCTCCTCTGTCTCTCCCTCTTCACTCTCCACCAACTTCTCCAATCAGAATTCTCAGTACCTGCACAGGGGTGGGAGTAGGTAAAATACTGACCAATCACAAATAAAAGAACATACGTGCTGGTCAAACGCACATTTTGAGCAAGTACATTTCACATAAACATTTACCGTAATCACTGTAACATTACAACAAATGAAATGCCATCTAATGATATGACTACATAACTGTGACGAGTGGGGGCGGGGCCGAGAGCCGTGGGACTCGAGACCGGTGAGTGGTGCAGGTGTCGCTCATTATCAATTACTTCACTGGACTCGCTCCGTTCCCACGACTCTCCGCCCCGCCCCCACTCGCCACAATAACATTTATGACAACAACTCAGGAATGTCAGAAGCATCTACATATTCAGAAATATGCATTTAGGATATGATAAATAACCAAGCCAGGCTACACTCTCCCCCTTCTAATGTCCCCATGAGCTTTTCTTTCAACATTAGTATTATGGGTTGCGGTTTGTGATCAGTACTCCAACTAGCACATGCATCATATTTGGCTAAAGGATGGCACCATAACGTGGTGCATGATCGTTTTTTTCCTGGTAGAATTCTGAACATTTACTACCATACCCCTATAAACTACTGTTAAGGGTCTGTATGTGGGCTTTCCCAGTTCATCATAGCTTAATTTCTTTACAGGTTTCATTTCTCTCCTAGGACGAAGTTCCCATCTCTCTCCTTCCTCTACTCTTGGTGTGCTTAATGATTGATTGTCTCCTCCTTCTGATACTAGGCCTTCAACCACATCAATAATTGATGAAGCAATACTCTTCACTTCATGCACTGTTAGATCCTCTATCACATCTTCCTGAGTAGTACTTTGAGTAGTTCTGTAAGGTATTTTCGTTCTCTCAGATTCAAATATAGAAATGAGCAGTTTTTCTCAAAGGATGTTCTTGGCTGAGCTGGATAATATTCATCCATGCTATTGTCCTCACTGTCAGACACCAGTGCTACAGACTCACGACCATCTTCTCCTCTGTCTTTGTCTTCCATATGCTTCTGTGTTCGCTTTAAAGTTTTTGACCTTGTCACCCATTTTGGCGGACTCTCATTTCTCGGATCAGGTACATTTATTCTCACATTTTCTCCTATGGGCTGTAAATGATCCCTGTGTAACGTTCTTACTCCTCCAGTACGAGTTTCTGGTTTTAGTCTGTAGACCGGCAAGTTTGGCAGTCTTTCCTGGACAAAGATCTTGTCCAGCGATTCCAGCGATCTTGTAACTTGTGCTTTCCAGTTAAGGCAAAATTCTTGATAAGTACTCTATCTCCCTTCTCTAGAATCTGATGTTTTACTCTTTGGTCGTAAAGCCTTTAATTTATTTGCTGTGTTTCAAAGATTTTTTTAGGCATGGTAGGCATGTTGTAAGTCTTTCTTCACACCCTCAACATACAGGTGATGTTTCAGACCACTTTCACCTTCTGATGAAGTTCCAAACTGTACATCTACAGGAAGAAGAGCCTCTCTTCCAAATAATAGGGTGAGTACCCAGTTGTTTTGTTCTTAGTACAGTTATACACGTGTACTAATTGACTGATTCTCCGACTCCATTTGTTCTTCTTGACCCGAATGTAGCGTTCCCGGCATGGAAAGAAGAGTGCGGTTAAACTGCTCATGTTGTGGGTCTCCCTAGGGATGGTAAGGCGATGTTCTGGACTTACGAATCCCTAATATTCCCAGCAACTCGGATGAGCTTGCTTCCAAAATCACGCCCTTGGTCGGAATTGATCCAGGCAGGCAGACCATAATGCATGAAAAATTTATCCACTAAGATTTTGGCTACGGTCAATGCTTTCTGGTCTTTTGCTGGATACGCTTGGGCATAGCAAGGGAAATTATCTGTAGTAACCAGAACATTACAAATCCCCTTAGAGTCAGGCTCAATGGAAAGGAAGTCGATGCAAACTGTCCATCGGCCCACTACTTGTGATATGACTCAGGTAAGCAGATCTTTGAGGTAATGTTTTCCTTGCAATACATTGTCTGCAATTTTTGATGTACTTTTCCACGTTTTTGTGCTCATTCATGGCCAGTAGAAATGGTTTCT